TTGTACCCAGCTAACCCCCTGAACCTGTCTTCAAGGCCCCTTTTTTCTGAGCTCCCAGTGAGCCAAAGCAGCCCAGCCTAGGTTCTCCTGTTGTTGCTTCTACCCTAAGCCCTTCCTTGTTTCACTGTCCTGAGTGTGCTTTTGTTGTGGCCAATAAAGTTTTGCTTGCTTTGCTGCAAAACAACAAAACCCCCCCAAAACAGAAATGGAGGCCTGGGGTTCATTGGATTCGTGTTTATGACATTTTGGGTGTCTGGGAAGGGAGAGTGGGATGGCTTCAGTTTTGTTGGCCACCAGGTGCACTGAGAACTGCCTGGGAGGGAGACTTCCCAGACCTCAGCCAATATCAGCCCAGGACAATTAAGTCTGCAACTGCGGCAGCAGTTTGCTCTCTTGATGCTTTTAGTTGTCTAATATTTTGCATCAAGCACTCCTATATTAAGAATGCAGTGGTATCATGTTTGGTGCCTGGTCTTTTTCATGATGTTTTCACCTTTATTTCTAATTGGGGGCACATTATCAGAACTAGTCTGGTCACTGTCAAATAAAAAGACAAAGTGGATGATATTGTTAGAGGCTATAATTATGGTGACTGTAGAAAGAAAAAGGTGGGGGGAAAAAGGGAAGGAAAGGAGGGAGGGAGGGAGAAAGGAAGGAAGGAAGGAAGGAAGGAAGGAAGGAAGGAAGGAAGGAAGGAAGGAAGGAAGGAAGGAAGAATCCAAGAAAAATTCTTTACAGTGAGGGTGCCCAGAAGCCCCGTCTTCGAAAATATGAAACAATAACTTGACATTTCTAATATCAACATAGAGATTTGGTCAAAATCTAAATCAGAAAAAAAAGGCATGTTCTAAGAATCAGGTTTTTAAATTTCAGTCTTTTCTTCCTTGTTATTTTTTCTGGTTTGGTAATTGATTTAGTGTTTAATCTTAGAGGCTTGGAAAACAAAAATTAAGGACTTGGTATAAAACTGACAGCAAGGGGGATGTGATATGGAGCTCAGTACACTGGGAGGGGCTTTAGCAACTGAGGGGGAAACTGTAATTATCATATTGAGTTTCAAGATTGACTCATCTGCTCTTATTTTTAACAGCTGTTTTCACTTCCAACCTAAGGAAACAAAGAGATGGAATAAAATGTGGTGCTTGGATGGAGTGAGTATTGCCAGATCCTTGAGCCTGGGAATGGAGTTTTAAATTCTTCTGTCCTTACAAGAAGCATAAATTTACTTATTTCTTCCCCTGCCAATCTCAGTAAGTGGAGGAGGTATTTGAAATCCTGTCCATACTTTAAAAAAAATTTTTTTTTTATTTATCGATTTGAGAAAGAGATAGAGATGGATTTGCTGTTCCACCCATTTATGCATTCATTGGTTGCCTCCTGACCGAGGATGGAACCCACAACCTTGGTGCATTGGGGCGACACTCTAACCAACTTTTTACACCTATATCAAAGCAAACAATGGCACCCCCATGGACAGTTGCAATTTCAAAGATCTTTGGGGAAAAAATAACTGAAGGAATGGGATTTGAGACAATGATGTGTGACTCACAGAGTAGTCAAAGAAGAAACAGAAGACCTTAATACAGGCAGAGAAGAAAAGTATTGCTAATCAAATGGACCACAGAGGAAATTAGAGTAATTGAACACCAGCTCTGAAGCCTAAAAGAATGAGGGTGTGGATCTGAATTCTGGACTCTTTATCATTAAGACAGACTTTAATGGATTTTAACTACTTCTTTTCCATAGGGGGAAAGGATCTAATCTACTGTTTCACCATTAGATTTTCAGCCTATGAACAGATTAAATATATATATATTTAAATATATAGATTAAATACATATGTGTGCATATATATATAGATATATATAGATATATATAGATATATAACTTTAAGAACAGCCTCTGCCACATGGTAAGTCGCTTTATGGATACTGGCTCTTACAATTCTAAACAAAGCTCAACAGCAACAGCCAGATCTTTGACGAAATAAAGAACAAAAGTTTACTTTGCAAAAACAGAACTATATTGCAATGGTAATATGATCTTCATTTCTCTTAAGTGGTTTGCAAAGCCATTGCTGAACTTAGCCAGAAAGTACAGGTGTTTGCGAGGAACCAGATGATCAGTTATTTGATCAACTTCCCGCCATAGGTCTCATGGGAACAAATTCCAGGATCACAATCACCCACTCCCCTGCCAACAAGCATCTGAGACTTCAGTTCAATGGCCCCAGAATCAGCAATGGGTTTTGGTCTTTAAAAGCCTTCTCCCTGCAAATTGACTGAAACAAATGGCAGGCGTCAGCTCAAATTCTACTTTCCCAACGCACTGTAATTATGAGGATGCTTCAGGGGACACATGTGCTGGGGAGAATGCAGACATCATTAAGTCCAGTTCCCTCGATTTATAAATGAGGAAACTGGAAGGAGAAATGGTTCATTTCTCAGCCGAAGGTCACACAGCTGGTCAGAATCAGAGCCAAGCACTGAAGAAGTGGCTCTGGCAAGTCATAAGTGACCTTGGCCTTCACGCTCACTCAAATCATAGACTATGGGAGTTAGGAGTGATCTTAAAAGGCCACCTACCCCAAGCTCTCATTCAATGTCGGAAGCCTTCAGAATTCCAGACAGACGCTCATCAGGCCTTAGCCTGACTATTTTCAGTGACAGGAAGCTCACAATTTAAATGAAATAGTCTTTCTCACTGAGCTGCTCTAATTATTTGAAAATGTTTCCTTCTACTGAGCCAAAATCTGTTTCCTTGAACTCTCGTTAATCCCATTTCTGTCTTGTAGAGCAAACTAGACATTTATTCCTCTTATATGTGGTAACAGTAAAAGATAGCTAAATAGTCTTATTTTCCTTCGGCCATCCCTTAAAGAATGCAGTTTGGGGATTTTTAAAAATGTGATCCTTCTTTTTCCTTCTTTCCCTTTAGTAACCAATCCCAATTTATCAACAGCTTTCTCGAATTTGGCCCCGAACCTGAACACCACACACCAGGTGCTGCCTAACTGGCGCAAGCTATGTAAGGAAGAAAGATTTATCTTCGTTTTTCAGGTCCCCAACCTCTTTTGTACAACCACATTGTGCTGTTGACTCATACCTTTCTGTAGTCAAATAAAATCCTTACACCTTTTTTCATAGAAAACCCTTCTCAATCTCAGCCTTCCCTGACCTGTATTTCATTTTTGATTTTGAAGTACAGGTTTTAACATTACCTCTGTTAAATTACAGCTTCCCGTGATCAACTCAGAACCTGCCAAAATCATTTAAAAATTGTAATTCTATCCCCAAACTCCCTTTCGCCTCGGTATGATAAAAAATTTGGTAGGGTTGCCTTCTGTGTTCCTTGCCTTCCTGCCGATAAAAACCTTCATTGGGGCAGGGGCAAGGACAGAGCCCTGGGAAAGTCTAAACATTTTAGGAAACATGTGGGAGACATATCTTGGCCATTCATTCAACAATCACATCCTCAGGACCAAGACATGTCTATTCTCCTTAGTCTTTCCCTACTCATCTGTGCAGCTGCCTGGAAAACTCATATTTGGGAGACATGATTAAGGATTTTTCGAGGGAAGGAAAGCTGCTCTAGGCCCCATGGGGACAGTTATTCAGGGGATCAGCCAGAGAGAAATCACTTTTGTTTTTTCCACTTAAACAGATTTACAACATGTCTGAGTCAGATGAAACACCAAAGCTCCAAAGCCCATGTATTCGTTCTGGATTTTGACTGGCTGCTTTGTCAGGACTCCCTGACTCAGGCTAGGTTTGGAAGCGGATTTGTTATTTTATCAGTGAGCTGCGCCAAACCACGTTAGCTGATCTGCCTGGTGATTTGGGAAAGTTATGTAACAGCGTTACTCACTACACTGCTATGGGGTTCCTCTCACTAACGTATACTTCTAAACTGTCTTTAGCCTCAGGTCATGTGTCTTTTCTAGGAGAGCTACAGCAAGGCTGTCTGTCCTAGTTTCTTCCTTAAAACAAAGGACAAGAAGCACAGGGGAAAGGAGCTAACATTTATTGAAGATTACCATGGAGTATGAATCCTACGAGATGCTTACACACTTTCTCACAGAATCCTTCCAACAATCCCACTGGCTAGGAATTCATATTCCCACTTTAAGGCTGACAAAGGAACTGAGTTTCAGAAAGGTTAAATAATTTGTTTAAGCTAGTGTGGGAGTCAAGTAAGGCCTACTGACTTCCAAAGTTCTGTTATAACACTCTATGGTTTCATCTTTTTTTTTTAACACTTTAGTTTGAGAAAACTGTAGGTTCATGTGTTTTTATAAGAAATAATACAGATATCCTAATGCTTTCGCCCAGTTTCTCCTAATGGGAACATCTTGTAAAACTACCAGGCAGAAAAAAGGCATAAACCAAAAATATATATATATACCTCATGGAGATACAGGGACCCTCGGATGGATTATAATGGTATTGCTCTA